AGCGCCGCGGCCTGAAGAAAGTGGAAGTGCGCTCGCCGCCCGCCGCTCCTCCCGGAGACCAGTTCTGGCCATGCCGTGACCCCGCTCCTCCGCTGCCATGAACAGGGCGCCTCTGAAGCGCTCCCGGATCCTGCACATGGCGCTGATGGGGACCGACGCCGCCGCCGGGGCAGAGGCCAGCCCGGGGAAGCCCTTCCTGCTCCGGGCCCTGCAGATCGCACTGGTGGTCTTTCTCTACTGGGTCACCTCCATCTCCATGGTGTTTCTCAACAAGTACCTGCTGGACAGCCCCTCCCTGCAGCTGAACACCCCCATCTTCGTCACCTTCTACCAGTGCCTGGTGACCACCCTGCTGTGCAAGGGCCTCAGCGCCCTGGCCGCCTGCTGCCCGGGGGCCGTGGAGTTCCCCAGCCTGCGCCTGGACCTCAGGGTGGCCCGCAGCGTCCTGCCCCTGTCCGTGGTCTTCATCTGCATGATCACCTTCAACAACCTCTGCCTGAAGTACGTGGGTGTGGCCTTCTACAACGTGGGCCGCTCCCTCACCACCGTCTTCAACGTGCTGCTCTCCTACCTGCTGCTCAAGCAGACCACCTCCTTCTATGCCTTGCTCGCCTGCGGCATCATCATCGGTGAGTGGCAAGCCCGGGCCGTGGGACACAGAGGCGATATGGGGGCCCAAACCCGAAGGAACAACCCTGCCAAACATCTGTGGACTTTATCCGTCCCAGCTCCCTTGATGGTAATATGAGGATGAGCTTGGGAGAACCAATAACTTGCTTGAGGTCACCCAGCAAGTTGGGGGCCCAGGTAGGGCTCCTCATGCAGGTGAAATTATAATTTATATTTCACAGGGGAAAACCCAGGCACAGAGAGGTGAAGTAACTTGCCCAAGATCGCACAGCTAGTAAGTGGCAGAGCTGGGATCTGATCTCAAGTAACCAGGCTCCATACACTTGACCTCTAAACTCTGTTGCTACTCAAGAGCTCAGGTGTCCTGACTCCCCATCTCATTTCTATGAGACAATTCCTCTTTTAATAAATATTCTGTCGCCCTGACCTTGCAGACACATAATAACACCTGAGACAGTGGTAAGAGATACGCTTTTAGAGGTGCTAGCTGTCTTCCCAGACCTGACCTTCAAAAAAATCACAATTATTGCCCTAGCTGGTTTGGCTCAGTGGATAGAGTGTCAGCCTGAGGACTAAAGGGTCCCAGATTCAATTCCAGCCAAGGGCACATGCCGGGTTTGCAGGCTCGATCCCCAGTAGGAGGCATGCAGGAGGCAGCCAATCAATGGTTCTCTCTCATTGTTGATGTTTCTATCTCTCTCTCCCTCTCCCTTCCTCTCTGAGATCAATAAAAATGTATTTTTTTAAAATCACAATTATTGACGGGACATTGTGCTAATCATTTCACATATTATAGCATCTCCTTTGTTCCCCAGAGGTCTCTGGGCACCATGATCATCACCATCCAAACAAGGAAACTGAGGCTCAGAGAGGTTAAGTTATTTGTCCAGGGCCACACGGCACGAGGAAGTAGCCAGGCTGGGGTGCAAACAGATTGGTCAGACTGCCGGTCCTGTGCTTCTAACCACTCTGCTCTGTTCTCATCCCCTCAACATTAAAGCTGCACTACCCAATGCAGTCATCACCGGACATGTGTCTATTTCAATCTAAGTTAGAGCAGGTCCTCAAATAACATCATTTCCTTATAACAATGATATGATGCATAGGAACTTAACACTTGTTTATATCAATTAGCCTATATATTAATTTATATTGTTTTAGTAGCAGAACCTGTGGAGGACATTAAGTAAAGACTTACTGTAATTCAAATTAAATTTTGAAAATTCAGTTCCTCAGTTACAGATGTTCAACCTGATTCTCTAGCCACATTTAAAGTGCTCAGTAGCCACATGTGGCCAGTGGAGACTGTATTGGACAGCACAGACTATAGGACACATATTGTTTTATTCCAGCCCCCACTGTTCCTGGGCCTCTGTCATCCAGGAATGTGATCCTTCCTTAAACCTGTTCAGGTTCTTCCTGGTGCTGGAAAGTTTGTCTTGGTTGACCTACATATTCTTCACTGGTGTGTCAGAGTCCAAGGCCAAAGTAGACTGGTTGCCGGGGAGAGGCTCATCCCATGCCACGTGTCCTAGAAAATGTTCCCCCTTGAGCAAGGAGGGAGCTAGCCCCAAGATCAGGGAGGGAGGAAGGGGAGGAGGGTGGAGGTCAGAGTGGGAGGAGCTGCTAAGATCCCTGGCATCTCTCTCTCGCTGCTGTCCCTTCCCCTCCCAGGGGAGGCCTCACTTTCTCCCACACGTCCCCAAATGTCTGAGGGATCGCCACTTCAGTCCTGCAGACCTTGTGTGTGTGTGTTGGTGGGTGGGGGATGCTCTTGGTGGGAGAATTTGCATGCGGGAAGGTGATGTCACTAGGGAAACTGGGCCCAAATCCCAAAAGTAATTCAAGTAGCTGATGGTGAGATTGCTTCTGAGAAGGTGCATTCACTGGCCAGCACGGGGAGGCCGTGCTCTCTGCTGGCCAAGGACCTGTTCCCTCTCTTCCTTCCTTCCTCCTTGTGGGGGTGGGTCAAAGGCATCTACTCTAGGCCTCCTCCTCCTCCTCCTCCTTGCCCCCCTCCCCCAGGTCACACTGCCTTTCAAAGCTCTTTCTAGCTGAGAATCCCTCTGGGTCTGGGACCTTGAGGTGGCAGTCCCTTCTGGACTCAACAGGTAACCAGCAGGAGGACTGGGGGTGCTCTAAGCCCACCCGCTCCATCCCCAGAGCAGGTCGGGGGTAACCTGTTTGCAAAGGCTCTACCAAGAAAGAGAATGCTGGGAGTGGGTGCCTACAGTGCAGCCGGTGTCTCGTCTCCTTTAATCCTCCGAGCACCTCCAGAACAACCTCTATCAGTCGTTCAACACGTATTCATGAGATCAGGCACATGCTGGGGACTGTGCCAAGCGCTGGGGATACATATTTGGAAAAGGTAGACTCAGCTTCTACACTCCTGGAGGTCACAGTGATGATGCATGGCAGTACATGAGCTAAGACTGAGTGGTAAGAGCTGTGATGGGGACATAGAAGGTGCCGTGGGAATCCTGGCTGGGCAGGAAGGGAGAGGTAGTTGGGAAGGAGTCATCTAAGCAGGCCTTCTGGAGGAAGTCCTAGATGGTGTAAGGAAGGAGTGAGGAGAGACTGTTCCAGGCAGAAGGACGAGCATGTGCCCTTCTTCATGGCTGGGCCCCGGCAAGACTCCCCAGATGTGAGGCTCCCCAAGTGCAGTGAGTCTGGAATAGTTTCTGAGGCAGTGGGGAGGCTCGGAGGAGCTTTAAGCCAGGACAGGACCTGAGCAGATCTGTATGTGAGGAAGGTCCTCGTCATTCTGGTTGCAAGGTGGAGAGTAGATTGGTTGGAGAGGGGGGTCAAGACAGTGACCAGCCCGGCCAGCGTGGCTCAGTGGTTGAGGGTTGACCTATGAACCAGGAGGTCACCATTCAATTCCGGGTCAGGGCACATGCCCGGGTTGCGGGCTTGATCCCTAGTAGGGGGCGTGCAGAAAGCAGCCAATCAATGATTCTCTCTCATCATTGATGTTTCTATCTCTCTCCCTCTCCCTTCCTCTCTGAAATCAATTTTAAAAAATAAAAAAGACAGTGACCCAGATCTCTGCAGCTGAAGGAAATGGGGCTCAGAGCAGTTAAGTAAACTTTCCCCAGGCCCCCCAGCCTCGAGATGGCAGAGCCCAAATCTCTGACACCAAAACTTTTCCTCCTGCCCCATGTTGCCAGATGCTGTAGCCGGGTATACAACACGTAAGATTCAGCCCTGCCTGCTGGAAGGTGGGGTCTGGCTCAATGTACTGTCCCCGGGGGCAGGTGCCCAGCAGCCCATGGCAGGCCAGGGGTCCTGAAGGGAAGCGCAGGCAGGAAGAGGCCTGGGGACTGGGAGTATCGGAAAAGACTCCTAGGCTTCCATTTTACACACCAGGAAGCCCAGCCTCTGAGACCTTAAATCACTTGCCCAAGGTCATTGTAACCACTAAATACTCATCCTTCATAACTCAATTCAAGTTTCCAGAGGCCCCAGGCCAACAGTCACCCAGTTATGGGTTCTCACAGCACCCTGTCCTGTTTTATGGGCCTCGTTACAATTGTTATGAGATGAATCGTTTTAGTGCCTTTCTCCTTTGCTGGAACCATGCTCCGTGAGGAAGGCTCCTGTCCTGGGCCACTTCCCAGCCCTTGTATTGTGCTTTGCATGTAGTGGAGACTTTCGACATATTTGTTGCCAAGGGGGTTGGGAAGGCTGGGATGGTGAGGCAGCATTACAGTTTGTGAACTTTAGGGGCAAAATTCTCTGTCCTTCTTCCTCCTGTCCTCACCCCCTCCCCTTCTCCTGTCCCCACTGCAGGTGGCTTCTGGCTTGGTGTGGACCAGGAGGGGGCAGAGGGTACCCTGTCTTGGACGGGCACCCTCTTTGGCGTGCTGGCCAGCCTCTGTGTCTCGCTCAACGCCATCTACACCAAGAAGGTGCTCCCGGCGGTGGACGGCAGCATCTGGCGCCTGACCTTCTACAACAACGTCAACGCCTGCGTCCTCTTCCTGCCCCTGCTCCTGCTGCTGGGGGAGCTTCAGGCCCTCCTCCGCTTTGCCCAGCTGGGCAGTGCCCACTTCTGGGGCATGATGACGCTGGGAGGCCTGTTTGGCTTTGCCATTGGCTACGTGACAGGACTGCAGATCAAGTTCACCAGTCCCCTGACCCACAACGTGTCGGGCACGGCCAAGGCCTGTGCCCAGACAGTGCTGGCCGTACTCTACTACGAGGAGACCAAGAGCTTCCTCTGGTGGACGAGCAACATGATGGTGCTGGGGGGCTCCTCCGCCTACACCTGGGTCAGGGGCTGGGAGATGAAGAAGGTGCAGGAGGAGCCCAGCCCCAAGGACAACGAGAAGAGCGGCGTGGGGGTGTGAGCTCCTGCGGGGACCTCGGAATGGCCCGCCTAGGAGAACGCCCCCCCTCCCCCCCCCGGGAGAAAGCCCATGAATGCAGCGGAGGCCTCTCTTACCCAGAGAGAGAGACCTGGAGGGGTGTTTGCAGACTGATCGGAATCTGGTGGTGGAATTGGAACCAGTGTTTTCAAGTAATGTCGGAAAGTTGCCAATCCTATCTCGACCTCCTTTCCTATTTGGGGGAAGGACCCCCATGAGAAGAGCACATTGGCCCTTGGGGAGTAGGAAAGTGGGGCACCCCTTCCTGCCCCATCCTAGGGCCTTCTACCTCCACATGACCTTTGGGGTTGAGGACAGGCCACAAGCTTTAAGGAACATATGGCGAAGCCATCGAGTCTTCACTTGTGCTCAAGGAGACAGGGGTGTGACACCACCACAGGTCAACTAAGGGGTTTGGGAAACCTCACATCTCCAGGTCCCAGGGCAGGCAGCACAGCGTTAGCCCCACAAACCAGCTTCCTCTGGAGCGAAGTGGCGGCTGGGCTGAGGGAGGAAAGGGACCAGTGTTCCCTCTTCTCTGCAGAGAGGCCACCAGGCCCCATGGAAGGGGCGAAGGATCAGTTGTACCTATGCCTGGTCCTGGCACTCCCAGGGGCCACTGGGAAGTGGCCTGGGAATGGGACACATCATGGATAAGCGCCCTTTCCCCACCATCTGCACCCCATGTTCCCAGCTCGTGAACATGGGGAACCACACATCTCTTACAGGTTAAACAGGGTCATTAGCACCCTCCCTAGCCCCTGACACCCGTTTCACTGCCTCTGTCTCCCAGCACCTGGCGGCCGCCTGGCTCAGGAAGTGGAGCCAGGAGCCACCTCTGCTTCTCCCAACTCTGCCTCCCCCAGAGCTTCTCCCCAGGAGGCTGATGGAGCAGTGTCCCAGCTCAGTGCCTTCCACCCCAGCTGTGCTGGGCCCCCAGGTCCCTGCAGGAAGGCTTGTAACCTGCTTCTGAGCCTCTTCCCTGCATCAGTGAACCATGGCATTCTTCCCTGAGGGTGGGGCCGAGAGAACCTGATTGTCCTCTCACCACACCCCCTGGCCTCTGGCTTGCTTTCACCCCTGGCCGTTTTGTTCCACCCAACTCCTTGGGGTATTCCCTAGAGAGTGGGTTTTCTCCACACCTTTTCCAGTCCCCCCACAATCCCAAATGGTTTCTAATGAAGTTGGTGGGGCCTGATGCCCTGAATTGTGTGTGCATTAAAATTGGAGTAAGCCATCCTGTGTATATGTGGAGGGGGGCTGAGTGCAGGAAGGGGCTGGCTGGGCCTAGATAAATTTGTGGACAGGCCCCTGAGGGGAAGCAGTGGGTCTGTAAAGGGCAAGAAGGCTCGACCCTGCCCTCACCAAGTCCAGGTACCAGCAGGGCAGCCCTTCTAAGAAAAGCCGTTCTCTCTCTCAGATCAGAGCCCTTCCTGGGACGTGGGTGACCAACCTCAGGTTTCATATTAGCAATAGCTGTCACTTACTGGCACTGTGCTGCGTGCTCTACATCCGTCATTCATCTTCACAACCCCTCCCCCCACACACACACACATGCACCCTGTGAGCTGGGCGCACTCACTGATCCCCACTTTACATATGAGGGTACTGAGGCTCAGAGAGGAGCACAGGAAGGGAGAGGCAACCGAAGGATTCAGATGAAAGTCTCTGCTTTCACAGCATAGATACTTAACCACGGTGCCCTTAACTACACTCGTACTTACAATGTGCCAGGCACTGCGATAGGTCATCTATAATAATAAAAGCATAATATGCTAAGTAGACCAGACATCCTTCCAGACAAAGCCAGGGCTTCGAGGGAAGCCCGGGTCCCGGTGCCAGAGGGAAGCCAGTGCCGGCAGCCAGGGGAAGGAAGGCCTACTCTTGCACGAATTTTGTGTTCAGGCCTCTCCTCTAGTGTTAATATAAAAACCCAAATCTGCTTCAAAGGGCTCACATGTAAACACCTGTCAAGGCTCCATAACAGGTTCAATAATGGAAATAGTAACCTACTGCCCTGAGGTCTCAGAGGTTTTGCTTTTTTCCTGACTTGATTTTTGTTCAAAACAATGCTGCTCATCGATGAACATGTCCAAGTCCCTTACCTCGCAGCCTAGGAAAGCTAAGGCACAGAAAGTTCAAAGGAGGCTTCTGAGGCCACAGAGCAAATTAGCAGTGAGCCCAAAGTGGAACACAGGTCTCCTGGTCCTAATCCAAAGGGCGTTCTACATACTCGAGATAATGCCTTGATCGGCAGGGGAACTATTTCATTAATTTAGCAAACACCTAAATAAATTTACTAGATAGCAGGCACTGTTGAAACTGCTTTACAAATATTGATTCATTTAATCCTCATAACAACCGGATGGAGGTACAATTATCATCTCCCATCTCACAGATGAGAAAAACAAAGGCACAGAGAGGGTAAGTAATTTGTCTGAAGTCACACAGTTAATAATTAGGATTCGAACCTGGGCAGTCTGCTTCTCAATCATAAAACTATGGCTTTCAATCTTTTGTCAGGAGGCACCGCGCAGGCTGGAAGGCAAAGAAGAATACTGGTTGAGGTTGGGAACCAGCAGGTGCCCAGGAGCTTGCTCTGACAGGAGCTGCTGGGTGATAGGTTCAAGTCAAGCGCTAGCTGGGCTACACCATCCCGTTGTTCTAGTCATGGGTTCTTAAGGCTCACAACAGGGCCATGGTGACCACAGAAGAGATGGCGCTAAGCCAGTGAAGGTGGTTTTGGCTGCAAGGATGGAGTCTTCTATAACTGGCTGGTCCTTAGTAAGGGGTTGGGGGGACGGAGAGTAAAAACCAGGGCAACTGGCCCATCATTGACCAAATCCTGACTGTTCTGGGCTCATTGCGGAGGAGGTGGTGGTTTGACTTTTGATTGCAGCGGAGGTTGACTAAAGATGAAAGGAGACTAGGCCTTGGGTAAAAGATGATTCAAATCAGGAGCTATGTGGGCTTAGCTAAATCAGTTCATCTTTCTGACCTTTTTACTCGTGTGAAAGAAAAGAAAGTTGTTCCAGTTGAAGAGAGAACATGACTGAAGGAATCAACATATGAACTTTAGTTGTTAGATGAGAACACTGAGGTCCCAAATGACTTGCTCAACACGCCAATGACAAAATGGAGTGTGGTCCTCGGCTCTCCTGGCCCTCCTGTCTGATAGGCTTCCCACAGGGCCACTCTGGTGGGGAAGCTGCCTCACCAGGTCCAGCCCCAGCCCTGCCCCCGCCCCCACCACAAACCTTGGTTCCTGTGAAGGGGCTAAGTGGAGGACCTGAAACACGCTGAAATGGGAACCGAAAAGCCTGCTGCACTGGAGCGCCTGGTCCAGGTGTGCTGAGAGCTGATGGAGGAAGGCTGTGTGAGGGAGGGAGGGAAGGCGGGTACCGGTGTGGCTGCACCCGTGGGGGAATTTAAAACATGAGAGCTGGAAATGAGTTTGAAGATCAGAGTCCAGCCTCAAATCAACAGACAAGCCTGAGGCTCAGAGAGATCGGATATGACTTGCCCCAGGTCACAGTGTGATGGGGAGGAGCCCAGAACCCTCCTCCTCCCAGGCCAGTGCCTTTTCCACTGAGTATCATCGTCATCATCCTTTTTTTTTTTTTTTTAAAGAGAGTATCGATTTTTAGAGAGAGAAAAAAGGAAAGGGAGAGAGAGAGAGAGCAACGTCAACATGAGAGCGAAACATCAATCATCTGCCTCCCGAATGCCCCCCACCAGGGATTGAGCCTGCAACCCTTTGGAGCAGGGTCGTGGTCGGACCTCACGGACCACCAGTGGTCGGGGGACCACCGGTTGGCCACCGCTGTTTTGGAGCGTGGGAGGACCCCCAACCAACTGAACCACACCAGCCAGGGCCATCATCATTTTTAAAAATAATAATGATTATGATTAAAATTTTTATTATAATGTATAATGTATCATTATAAATATATATTACTAAATATTAAGTAATATTGCTAACATTTATTGGCTACTCACCACATGCCAGGTACTATTGTAAGCATTTGCTATATATTAACATCTGAGACAGGTACTATTAACAACCCCTTTTAATGGATGAGAAAACCAAGGCCTACAGAATTTAGCAATGTGCCCGAATCACATAGCCGGGTTCCCTCTCTGCACACTGAGAGACTGAATAGTCAAACGGACATTGACAACAGAACTCTGACCCACAACCTCTGCAGCAATCAGCCCTAAAAGTCAAACCACCACCTCCTCCTCAATGAGCCCAGAACAGTCAGGGTTTGGTCAATGATGGGCCAGTTGCCCTGGTTTTTACTCCCCGCCCCCGCCGCCACCCCCTTACTAAGGACCAGCCAGTTATATAAGACTCCATCCTTGCAGCCAAAACCACCTTAACTGACTTAGCGCCATTTCTCTTCTGTGGTCACCATGGCCCTGTTGTGAGCCTTAAGAACCCATGACTAGAACAACGGGATGGTGTAGCCCAGCTAGCGCTTGACTTGAACCTATCACCCAGCAGCTCCTGTCAGAGCAAGCTCCTGGGCACCTGCTGGTTCCCAACCTCAACCAGTATTCTTCTTTGCCTTCCAGCCTGCGCCTGTGCCCCCTGACTCTCCCAGCCTCTCACCTGGCCCATGGCTTTCCTCCTTCCCCTTGTATCAATCAAAGTGAGCTTCTCTTCTAGACTTCCACCCACCCTTGCCTCCTAGACTTTCTGGTTACTCTGGGTAACAACCAAGCCCCTGATCCAAAAATTCCTGCCCAAATACCCACTCATGTATTCCCATGCCCTCTGGGTTGTCTTCCAGAAAAGGAAGTGAGACACTGAGAACCCATACCTGACATAAACGAGCTTTATCTAATGAGCCCTGATTTAAAGCGTGGTAACATTGGATTAAATCTCAAAGGGAAAGAAATGATTTAAAATAGTGAAATCAATTGATCAGTGGATCCTGGAACCAACCCAATCTATCCTCTAAGGCTCGGGCTCTAGAATAGCATCACAGTCATAAAGTTGAACCGGAACTCAAACTATATTTCATTGATCTCTGCTCTCAGCTCCCATAAAACCATATTTCATTGATCTCTGCTCTCAGCTCCCATAAAACCGTGGGGGCGGGGGGGGGGGCGGTTGGTCAGCAGAGACAAGCACAGACCTCCAGCTCTGTCCTGGAACCAAGAACTCAAACTCATCTGAGTTGGACTCTGTGGGGAGGCAAGAGGACATGACAATTGTCTCCTCTTTCAGAGGCCAGGAAGTAACATACACGAGGAAAGAGTCCAAGTAAACCAGTATTGTTGGAGCCTATAGCAAACAGGGCAGGTAAGCCCAGCCAAAACTTCCTAATTTCCCTAATTACTGCTGGCCAAACTAGTTTGCCCTCCGGTCACCAGTTTCCAGCTTCTAGGCATTGGAGTCAGTGAGACCTGCGCTGGAATCCCAGTTCTGCCATCTGTTGGCTGGGGTCTTTGCGTGAGTGAGATAACAGGACAGTACAGTAGGCAAATGACCCCATCTCTGAGCCTCCATGACCTAATACATAGAGTGAGGATGGTCATAGTTCCTCCTCCAGGGGGCAGTGCCATGACTGGATGAGATCATGCATGTTGCATGCATGCTCATTTACCACACTGACTGGTACATAAACAGCTAATGTAATTACTGGATGGAAGCTCACAGCACAAAGAATGGTGGGACTTTGTCGCCTCTGTTGCCTTGCCTATGGATTTAGCTCTGAGGCCTGCCCAGGGCAGCCTTCCAGCCTGCTGGGTAGAGAGAGATGATGGAGCCTAGGAAAGGTTCCCTCATCTGCTAAGTGGACCTCTGCTCCTTCCCTCCTGCTGCAATCATGGGGAAGATGAAATTTTATTTATCACAGGAGTGAACTCCTTACAAAACACCCAGGGGACAACCAGTAACATAATGAGGAAGGGGAGCTGAAGGGAGACCTCGGTCAACTGGATAGTTCTAAACAGGGAAGACACGACTCAGTTCCCATCATTTTCTGCCATTTGGGAGTGTGGGCTTATATTGCCACAACTTCTGATTTTGCAAGAGAAGCTGGAAATTTGAACCTTTATGTGCAATCTCCTGATTTTTAAAAATATATGCTTATTGATTTCAGAGATTAAGGGAGAGGGAGAGAGAGATAGAAACATCAATGATGAGAGAGAATCATTGATTGGCTGCCTCCTGCACACCCCCTACTGGGGATGGAGCCCACAACCTGGGCATATGCCCTGACCAGAATCAAACCATGACCTCCTGGTTCATAGGTCCACACTTAACCACAGAGCCACCTCAGCAGGGCTATCTCCTGATTTTTAAACAATGGCTCAAATTTATAAAATACTGTGTGGGCTGTGCGGCACCTACACGGACTAGACAGCCTCGGGCCACCATTTCACAATCTCTTTCTTAGCATACAACTGCTTTGGTAGTCTTACCACATCAGGGGAGAGGCTGAGGACACAGGAACCCTGGGGCCAAGGATGCAGCATCCCTAAGAGCTAATGGTTTTGCCCCTGTGGCCTATCCCAGTTAAACGCCCTTGTCTTCCCACCTCCCAGAAGAGAAGCTTCGGGAAGGAGCTCACTCTGGCTGTTCTCCTCATTGTCCAGCAGCAGTGATTATAATACACAGGCACAGGCCCTGAGGGTGTGTGGAAGGCTTTACCACCCTTCTCTACTGTGTCCTTGCCAATGGGCAGGGAAACAGGACAGGGTCTAGAAAGCTTCTGTTGTTGCTTTTGCTTCGGAGGATTACAAGAATAGTTAACAATAACAGTAACAATAATAACAGAGCCCTGGATAGGAAGTCCCTTGCCATGGAGGTTCAGCATTGAACTTTGAATGATGACTAAGCAATGCCATCATCCTTGGCATTTTGTTTGTTTGTTTGTTTATTTGTTTGTTTGTTTTTCTACCCAGCTCTGTCTACCTCCTGCACACCCCACACTGGGGATGGAGCCTGCAACCTGTTTTGTTAATCTTCACTGGAGGAAATTTTTCCATTGATTTTTAGAGAGAGTAGAAGAGAGGGGGAGAGACAGAGGAACATCAATGTGAGAGAGACACATCCATTGGTTGTTTCCCGCAGGTACATACCCCTTGACCGGGAATCGAACCCTGGACCCTTCAGTCCGTGGGCCCGATGCTCTATCCACTGAGCCAAACCGGCTAGGGCAGTGGTTCTCAACCTTCCTAATGCCGCGACCCTTTAATACAGTTCCTCATGTTGTGGTGACCCCCCAACCATAAAATTATTTTCGTTGCTACTTCATAACTGTAATTTTGCTACTGTAAACAATATGTAATTATATATGTGTTTTCCGATGGTCTTAGGCGACCCCTATGAAAGGGTCGTTCGACCTCCAAAGGGGTCGCGACCCACAGGTTAAGAACCGCTGGGCTAGGGCGTCCTTGGCATTTTTTTAAAAGTTTGTTAAGCTAACATCTTTTGGAGAAATGTGTTAATTGACCAACCACAAATGGAACAGTGTGTATTTTTTAAAAGTCAAATGGTATAGAAAGGTTACACGCCTCCCCAGGTTTTGCTTTCATGCCTTTGCTTTCATTAGAACAGTCGAGATTAGGAACTTGCTCCCCGGGGAGAAATGAATGCAGCTTTCCTAAGTGATAGCATCCCCAGGGATCTGGGCATAGGCACCCACCCCCACCCCTCCCACCAGCCATTGGGCCCACAGTCCTGTGGCCACACCTGGTCTGGAAGGAACACCCTGTACACTCTTAGTCCGCAGTGGCAAAGATCAGAAAAGTACTCACTTGCCCATGTCTCAAGGTTATCAGCGTGCAACCTGAGCCAAAGCTGCCTCCTCCCTGGATGTTTGACAAATGCATTGGCCACTTACATATCCTTGGTGAGGGAGGAGATTGAGTCTGTTCAAGTCTCCGGCCTTCAACAAGTCTCATATTGGGTTGCCTGTCTTCCTTATCTTTTTGCTTGTAAAGGTTCTTTAAATATTCTGGATTTGAGATCTTTAAGAATTATGTGCGACAACTCTCTTCTTCCATTCCATGGTTTGCCTTTTCAAATAATGTTTTTGATAAACAGAAGTTTATAACTTTAATGTAGTTCAATATATCCATCTTTTCCTTTCCATGTCTTATTTAAGATTTTTTTTTGTTGTCTATTCCAAGGTCATAAGGATGTCTTCCTCTATGTATAATCTTCTCAAAGCTTTGCTGGTTTACCTTTCACATCAATTCCATTTACCTGGAATTGGTTTGTATGTTCTGAAATAGAGGTCAAGTTTAAAGTTTTTACATCGGTATATCTGACTGGTATACCATTATGGGAAAAACCACCGGTACCCCACTCCTTTACACAGACATTTTTGTCATGAATAAAATACCACATATGTGAGGATCGGTTTCTGGATTCTCAATTCTGAGATTTTTGCCTATTTATCTTGCTCCAATACCATGCTGCCCTTGTATCATCATCATCATCCCCATTTTACAAATGAGGAAACTGAGGCACGGAGAGGCTATGTAACCTGCTCAAGTACGTAATTTGCTAGTTAAAGACAGAGCTGGAAATGGAACCCAAGGAGTCTGGCTTTTAGGTCCATGTTCTCAAGTTTCTCTGCCTTAAGTCTTGGAAATAGGAAGCCGCTGCCGCAACTCTGCTGAGTGTACAGCTTAACTAAAGGGAGAAAGAGGGGTGCAGCCTAGGACTGAGCCGCCGCTTTTTCCCAGTCCCACCACTAGAGGGCGCGGGTAACTTGGACTCGCTAGGGACATTCCCCCGCCCCTAGTTACCTTTCAACCAATCATCAAATATTTACCCAAAACGTAGTGCCAAGGGAATGCAAAAGTTGCCTAATCCAGTTTCTAAGCAGGCCTGTAACAAAAAGACAAACAGAACTGATCTCTGTCGTTTTCAACATTTTCAGCAAGGAAAGAAACTTCCCACTACCCTGCTAAGTTCTCTCATTCCTAAACCACTTTACACAAAGTCCCTCCTTAAATCTCTTACTTTTCCCAACATAGACTAGATTCTTTGTTCTACCCTTAGTGGAAGCAAGGAGCGACTGTTTGGCATCCTCATGCAACCGCTCTTCAGAGATGCTTGTAAATAGCGAGGTATATAGCTATGGAGTCAAGTCTCAATTCTCATTTTTCTCAAAGATACAATAGCATATGATTACAATCCTTAGCAATTTGCACGTTCCTTTGGTCTCTCCAATTTCTCCAGATTCTTTGTTCTACCCTTAGTGGAAACAAGGAGCGACTGTTTGGCATCCTCATGCAACCGCTCTTCAGAGATGCTTGTAAATAGCGAGGTCTATAGCTATGGAGTCAAGTCTCAATTCTCATTTTTCTCAAAGATACAATAGCATATGATTACAATCCTTAGCAATTTGCACGTTCCTTTGGTCTCTCCAATTTCTCCATGTCTCTTTTAAAGTTTAAAGTCCAAAAGTTGACGTTGCACTCCTGTATTCTATCCAGTGCCAGACTTAATTCCTGCTTCTTGAAAGTTACGCTGCTAATATACCCAGGCAATAGGTAATCATTCAATAAAATAATTCATCTTTATCAACTTGATAAAGACACTCTTTTGTGTAGAGTGGTGCCAATCAATGGCAGTGAATTTCTAAATTTCTTCATTACTCACACCCAGGATCAGGAGGGGTTCCAAGCATGGGCACAACAGCGCCAAAATGAAAACAGACTGTTCGCCACTTGAAAACCCCAGAGTTCCAACATGGCCAGACCATTTTAGCCTACCGTCAACACGGCATTGCAGGTGTTCGTATGCTTCCCTTGCCATTGTCGGTTAATCAGCAAGCCCAGTGCTAGCCTCCAAAAGAATAAGAGGGCTCCATCTGGCCCCCCCAGGTCAGGAGGGGCAACAGTGTCCTTCACATCTCTAAATCCCACAGGAAATTCCAGTAGTGTTTGTGCACAATGGTACCATTGGGTCTACTAAACATAGAACTAGAAGAAAATAAGTTCATCTGACGGCATAATTCCTATCTCAACCCACACCCTCCACATTCCCAGTCTCTACTCCCCAGCCCTCTACTGCTGCCCATCAGGGCACCCCCGTCCCTCCTCAGACTAGGCCACTTGCAAATGTCAAGTTGCTCAGCACAGATGGAAGTATAGCTTTCTGGATAAAAGCAGAAGATTAGGAATCACAATAATCTGGCTGGAGTCCTCTTATGATATTGAGCAAGTCACTCAACCTACGGCAGCCTCAAAATGTACTTGTCTGTAAAACCAGAATAACAACTCTTTCACTGTGCTTTGTTGAATGAATGCAACTGGCCTGGGATGAGAGTAGTAAACGAGACAGTATACGTAAGGAAATTATCACGTTGTTTGGCATATAAAATGCGTTCAATAAATGGTGACTGTGGTAGAATATTGTAGATGATGTAATTGCGGTAGATAATGAAGACGACTTTGATTACGAGGTGATGCAGGCCGAAGGGTTGTCAGTTCTGTAGGTCATTGTCCGTAGTGACAGCAACCCTCCCCTCCCCCCACTCTCTC